GGGGATTGTTAGATAATATTTGGCTCGATAGCATAAATTCCTAAGGGGAAGTGAAGTTTGTTACCGAACTAAATATTATCTAGCAATTCAGTAGTGGAATCCTCGAAGGTGTAAACCTTTCAGTGTTCAAATTTGCATTCTTCACATTCGAACACTGATATGAGTATATGGAAACAACGACTGCCAATTACGAAACCCGAAAGTATAGTTGTATCATCGGGATCGGGGACTGCACGACTAGCTTTGTAGAAACAAGCTGTACAAGTTAGCCACAAGAAATGATGGCAATTTCTTTTTAGCACAACGAATGCTTATGTACTTTTGAAAATGGAAGGAATAAAGTAAAGTCCTTTTATTTCTATCTTGTTTCTTGTCTGAATGATGAATTGATTTTATCATTTGAAAGTAAACAAGTACTTCAAATGCTAGTTCCGTAATGAACATGAGACGTGCTCTTCAAAAATACCATAAACACAAGAGGGCCTTCTCTTATTAAAACCCTCACGTTAAAGGGTTGATTTCAGAAGAACTTATGCCCGTAATCCAAATGATTTCGGGGGAAAATACACCCAAAGCCTTGCATGATTAGATGCAAATAGTAAAACTTGTGCAAACACTTAAACAAAAAAATACGCAAAGAGCAAACTTGCAAAAATATTTATACGAAAGTACGCAGAAAGGAAAACTTATATGGTACTTGAACGAAAAAGTATTTTTATTTACAATAAATGTGCCAAACGGAACAAGTACAAAAGTTTGAAAAGGAAATCAAAAACTAAGTTGTTGCATCTCCGAAACACGAAGGAAGAGAAGCATCCGCGCCCCTAGGAGAAGTGGGTAGATTCGTCGTTGATTCGATATCTTGGCCTTCGCCATTTTAGCCTTCAGCATCATCGCCTTCCTTCTCCTCTTCAGTTCCCGAGAACTCAAAATTGGAACCAGAAGAATTGGTAGCATTAGGCCTTGCCGGAAGACCCCTTTTAGTAGCTAACTCCAGCTCACGAGCTTTAGCGATTTCGACATCAAAGTCAACGACACCCGCTTTAGCCTCTTCCAAGATTTTTATCCTCATGCTTTAATAGCATATATTTTTTCAACAATGAGGGAAGTCGTTCGGCGCTTGAGTTCTTCTTTAAGTTGGTCAACCTCCGTATAAAGGCTTTCCTGCGTGTATCTAACGACCAGTGGATGACATCGAGATCATGAACACTAGAGCTGAAAATTCTATTATGCTCAATGGTCTTCTTATGATTCTCCTCCAATTGGGCATACTTCACCCCGGCGGCAACAAGCTCTTCAGTTTTAGAGTTCAAGGCCGACTCCAAATTATACAATCTTTCAGCGGAGGAAGCTTCGTGGTCGGATATAGCAAGAACGACATTATGGAATTCAACCCTTTTGGCCCTAGCTTCCTCAAATTGAGCCTTCAGCGGGTCGACTTCTTTGCTAAGGGTCTCTACCTCTTGCTCGCTTTGCTGCAACCGAGCCTATAACTCAATAGCCTCAGCAGCTCTAGCTTCCAGTTCTGAGAGGCGAGCAACAGTTTGGTCCTGCTCAACCAAAATTTGATCCCGCTTGGAGTTAAGTTCCTCCTTATCTCGAATCAACCTTTGGAGGCCCTCAGAAGCAAGAAAGTTGGCATGCAAAACGAAAAGTGCAAATTCAAAATCCTACTATATCAAAGATATAAGAGATAATGGAAGAAATGAAGAATATGTCGTTGTTGCGTTGTGCATAGCATTGTTCAATAAACACTCTTCCGAGAGAGCTTGTATTTTTTCCCTATCTTTTTCCAAAGTCAAAGGCTTCATATAGTTTGCAAGTTCCATCGGCCGGGACAGCATGTAGTATCCGATAAAGACCGAGGGAGTAACGCTCCTCCTCCTTTGTGGATCTTATAAAGGGGCAACATAATTTTGCCCCAAGTTCCCATGAACTGGGGACTGTGGGAGAGGGACATCCTCTTGTCGGGCAGTTGCAGCCGGTGGAAATGATGTAGCAGTTGCTGGTGGCGAAGGAAGAGTTAGTGAAAAAAGAGATGAAGCTGATGGCGTTGAAGGATGAGAAGTGGCTGCGGAAAGCACAGTGCTAGTTGTTTGTTGCTCATCAACCGAAGACGGCAGGTACCCGATACTCAGCCTCACGGTACTGGGCATGGGGACTAGGATACGAAAGTGGGAGTTGGAATTCTCCACCATCTCATACTCCCCCAGAGTGTCAAGGCATCGTCCTCGGTTGTCTAACTAACTCAATAGATCGAGTAGTCTCTTGAGCTGATGAAGGTCGTCGTCTTTTATATAAAGAAGCCCTCTCTTCGCCTTTTTATTTTTACCCCTGGCCGCGGAGGAATGTCTTCTTTTTGGTTCTTTGTTCTCCGCCCGGGGACTCCGAGAGGAAACACTCGCACTAGAAGCAGGTCCAGAGACACCTGTCTGTGTAAAAGCCTCCTGCAGAAGCCTCGTCGCATCATCAGGATTAGCCAAAATGTCCTCCTCAGGGATGACAACTGAGCCCTGGAGTAGACCTAAATTCAACATGATAGAAAGGTTAAAAAACTTCATTATACGAAAAGGTAAAAACAAGATGAGTTCGACTTACCATGATTTTTGGCCTTCCACCCATATTTAAGGGCCAGTTCTTTCCACGTGCAGGTCTCGGGCGTGGTAACGCCCAAAATTTTTTGGACCTACTGGTCCAAGCCTTCAACCCTAGGCGATACCCACCGAGTCACTGAAATAGGCGAAAGAAGAATGGTCAATAACGATATGTGATGATCTTTAACGGAAGAAAAGACAAATTTTGAACTTACGAGTGCGGTTCCATAATTCTAGAAAGGATGAAGCTGTGACCGGAATGACGTCACTAGTGGCGACTGAAATAAATCGTTCTATCCACGCACAATTGTTATCATCATCCATGCGGGATAGCAGAGCATAGTGGCCGTGCTTGCTGAAATTTATAATTCCCTCGCGGAAGATCTTGGGGGAATAAAGGTTCATCAATCGAGCTAGGGTTAGCTCATCTCCTGTCTCCTGGCATAGACGCGGAAGACAAGCGACTGTCCTCTGCACAGAAGGACTTACTTGTGCCAGGAATACCTTGTAGCGGATGCAGAACTCTATGATGACAGAGTCAAGCTCTCCACTCAAAGAGAACTGTCCCAAAGTGGGTAAGCTCTCCACCAAAAATACGTAAAACACTTCTTGGGTAAGGTTATCCGCTCCGCTGGGTCAGGAGCGATAATGTCTAAATCTTGACAATGGCAGTCTTGCTTCACAGCAGGAATACTGGAAGGACAGAAGGAAGAAGGTCATACGCTAACGGCCAGGTACGAGGGTGAGCGGAAGAATACTTCTCTTCAAAGTCTTTAATTGTGCCAACTCTTTCGGATGATGGAGCTCACCGTAAGAGAAGCAACATCATCAGATTTACTTTTTTTCTTTGAAGAACTAGGATTTTCTGAAGAAGAAGCCATTTTTTTAATTAGAAACGAAGGAAGGTTTTTCTCTCAAGAAGAAGGTTAAAGACAAAGTATGAGTTGAGTAAATAAAGTTTGAGAAAGTTTAGAGAATTATAAAGTGTAAATGAAGAAGTTTGATGCGTATAAGTAAAGGCATATGCGGCTAAAATTGTAGCCTTAATTACCTCGATAACCGGACAAAAGTGATGCTAAATCGTGGACGCGTGTTTGGGGCATAAGATGCGGAGAGACATGCATCTAATCAACTGTCAAAAACTTTTCAGAGGGGGTGAGAGAATTTTTCGCCAAAAAAGGTATTTCTACCAACTTTTCAGTAACACAAAGTTATGCCACCGGAAAGTAGGGGAACTATATATATAGGGTAAAATAGGTTTATATTAAATGATCGTAGGAGAAAGTGACACGTGGAACCAAAGGCAGAAGGTAACCGGATCCGGAGGCAACGATCCCGTCTGTTACCGGAGAGAATGATACTCATAAATGTGAAATAAGTACCTGCCACCCGGTAGCATTTAATAAGAAATATTCACAACATTAAGTACGCGGCCCGTTACAAGGAATATGACATTCACTGCATGTCGTTACACATTCTTCAATAGCCCTCATAATTATCATTAAAGAGGGACTTAATCCTAGGACCTTATTTCCTAGGTGCAGCTATAAATATTGAACTTTATTATCATTGTAAAGGACACAAATTCTCTGACAAGCATACACTATATTCTATCAAAAGTTCAATAACATTTTACTTTCTTGCTTATTTATACTGTTCTTATTACCCCCTCTGTGCCCGGGATCAAGATATCTGCTATTTCATTTCGATGTCAAGGCTAAGTCTTCTATTTTGTCTAATTCACTTACTACCTCAGTTCCAGTTTATGTGAACTTATTTTCTTTTTGGTCAGTTCCAAAAAGAATGATCTCTTTCTAAATTTGGAAATAACTTTGTTTAAACTTACAATTCTACTCTTAATGAGAAACTTTTATAACCACACAAATACTCTGGACCCCTTTTTGAATTGTTTAGGACCACAAATTCCAAAAGTCTTCATTTTTTCTTAAACTCCGTGTCCTGTCAAACAGATTCACATAAATTGGAACGGAGGGAGTATTATTTTAGGATCAAATTAATTCACTTGTCTATAAATCACGTATAAATTTAACTATATCGTTTTACGGGTAACCAATTGGTTACAATTTTTGTTAGGAAAAACACGACATTACTGTGCATACAATCTCCGGGACTGATGAAAAAGAATCTACATTAACCTCCCATTCTTTATCATTTGGAGGGGACACAGGCCCATAAGTTCCGAGGCATTCTTTCTTGGCATATTCGTTGGATCTAAATACAGATCCGGTGGGGTTCATCTGTATTTTATAACTAGTATTTTATTGACTTGTAATTGTTAATTAAATTGTACTCCATTTGATAACGGGAAGCTGAGTATGCACCACGAAGGCAAGTGCATCGTTGTGACTTGTGAGTAGTGACAAAAAGCATACAGCCGGAGAGAGATTCTTATTGTTATTGGAACTCCATTTCATTCCTAAACTCTTTCACATACATATACATTGGCCGTCACTAATAGACAATTAAAGTTAACTTTGTCCGAGAATAAAACTAAACCAAGAAGGGAAGGAAAAAAAAAAAAACAGAGACAAAATTGATGTCTCTTCTTTCTTTTGCAACCATAATATTGTTTTAATCTTCCCTATTCATGAAATAAACTATTCTACCTAGCAAAATGTTCAGGTAAATGGTGAAGTTCTGTCTTGTTTACATCAAGGGATAAAGGATTAAAGGCTAAGGTATTTCCAGGAGGCGAATACGAGTTAGGATAACATGCTCTTCTGAGCTCATTATACCTTTGAAGATCGAAATTCTTAAGCTTCATAAGTCGTTTTTGCTTAGCAGCAAATCGGCTTTGGAAAAATCCTTCGAAAGAAGGCTCTTTCGACGTCCTAAGGAAGAAAGCATAACCAGCCATGCAGTAAATGGATGTGACATAAAAGCAAATTGGTTCCATGACATCCCATGAAAGTTCCCAGAATGTCAATCTCATGAATGCTGCTGTCTGAATGACAAAATAGCCTAGCCCACACCACAACTCTCTACGGACCAATGACTCAGCTTTCTTGTCAATGATTGATTTTTCCTCCTCCATTTGCTTGAGCTCCTTCATCATTTGTGGGTCATTTGTGTTGGCCAATGGCATTGGTAATAGGCCTTGTATGGTTTTCACTACCTGTGAACAAAAACAGGGTACCAAACATTTGGGTAAAACTAACATTCCATTTGACATACCTCTGTCTAATTCAAGATCATATGACAATGAGCATAGTAGTGCTAAAGACACCTTTATAAACTGAGCGTGTTTGCCAAAAAATATTTCTTATATGTATACATAAATAGTAGTATTTCTTTTAAAAAATAATATGTATATAGACATTAGACAATAGGTTGACACTAGTTAAAATCATACGATGTAAATATTATTAATTTAAGAAAAGGAAATAAAACTTCAAAATTGACATTCTCCTAAACCCAATTTGTGAAAAGTCAATAGACACGCATAAAAAATCCTACCTAAAAATGATAGCTAACTCCCTGTTAAGAGAAATGAAAATATCTTAGCCCCTAAATTTGTTATTCTCTTACTCTTTTCCTCCAATAAAAATGGGCTAGACCAGTGACCAATCCACCACGTTATGTAACTATTAGACACACGTAATATATGAACATGCCACAATTGACATATGGGGCTTCTCTACCTACACGATTACGCAAACAACTTCTCACCCACCTCATTTGCTAAGAGTTCTATAGCGTCAAGCATTAGAAAATACTAGTGGGCAATTTGAAAGGGAAATGGAAATGGAAATTGATAATGGGCTTTGCTACTTTTTTGGACTCCACAATAATCGGAGGTCATTTTCCTCTTACCCTTTTTTCCATCCCACTCTTTTCCCATCCCCAAAATCCATCAATTAAAATTTTAGCATCTCATTCTCTCCCCAATAATCAAATATGTAAATTTTAACTGTGACCCTAAAAAAAGTTTTTTTTTTTTTTTGGGTGAAATATATTAAAAGCCTTGAATGTGTTCAAGAAGAAAATTTTGGGTCTTTGAAAATGATCCGACTGGTCCACTCCTTTATAAAAGTCACCATCTCGTTTAGAGATCTGGAGTAACTTTGTTTCATTTTCCTGTCTGGAGAAAAAACACACAAAATAGATGAAAATCTATCAGTTTTCGGTAGACTCGGCATATTTAACAAAAATTAAATCAGCATAAATAATTTCTATGTAATGCTTGCTAATTACCAACCAACTATCACATAGTAATTCTTGGTAATTTATCTTTATGCATATCTGTAAAACATTAGTTAATCATCAGAGAATGGCTTAATAAAAGAAGAATGAAAAAGTGGAAAACCAACCTGATCAGGTCTGAGGAACACAACGTTTCCTAGAACAATCACACTTCCAGAAACATCTAGAATCTTCGCGAATTCTAGGCATTGATCAGTACTATTCGAACAAGATTCACAGCAGATCTGAACAAATTCTGAGTACGAAATACAATTTTTTTCGATTTTCCTTAGCTTCAATTTCACCATCTCCAATTGTGATAATTTCAGCAACTTCCTTGCATCTTCCACCGTCAATTTCCCCTCCGACGTCTCCTCTGGCCTCAACTTTTCCGGCGGCAGGAGTCCATCGAGCCTGATCCTGTTTCTTTCAGTGTCCATTTCACGCAGTTTCTCGATGAGCTTTTCGCCGGAGGGTAGTGATCTGAGATCCGTCGAGGTCGCCGGAGATGGATAGCGGTGGAGGAATCGCCGGAAAGTTCCGTTGTCTCCGGGATCTGGGGCGATTTTATTATCAGGACAAGGAGTAGTCAATGATTTGGATGCCATGGATGAGGATGAAAGAATAATACGGCATGTGGAAATGGAAAAATTAGTGGTTTTGTATGCATTGAAAAGGCGATGAACTAGCGTTTTTTTGAACGCCATTGATACAAAAGAGAATAAGAAAAACTTAGTATTCAGAGAGAGAAATTTGGTTTGGAAAAATGGGAGCTTTAGGGTTTGAAATGTTCAAGCTTTTGAACGATGAAGAAAGGTGTCATGCTCGGACATATTTATAGGTCCACTCTCTCTGGAGAAATGACGAAATGACAGCCAGCTACGTTAATCCAAGTAAAAAACGGATCTAGAATTTTAATTAAACATGTACAATAATTATCTGTATAGTGTAACTTTATATTTTATATTTTTTCTGTCAAAGAGCTTATTTGAATTAGCGGATTGTAAATAGCTGATAAGTTTGAAGTGATGAAATACTTTTTTAAGTGATAAAATAGAATTTTAAAATAAATATTTATTAGAGACGAATCCAAAATTTTTAAGTCGTGGATGCCAACTGTTTTTAATTGGACTTTCTACTTTTTAGATTGGGTGCTCAATCAACATTCTTGTATATAATTACTAGTTTCCAATATACAAATATAATGTTTGGCGAAAAAAATAATGTGTGCTTAAGCACCCATAAAGTTCAATATAGATCCGCCATTGGTATTTACGTGTTTAGATATAAGAGCTGAAATTTGTAATAAGCAGTTAATGTGTTTGATAAAAAAATGTTAATAAGCTATTCTTTTATTAAAATGACTAAAATACCCTTAACTTTTTTTTTTCAAAAGATTAAAAATTTTAAAAATTTCTTGTAAAGAAAAGAATTAACAACGAATATGGAATGAAGAGAAAGTCAGAAAATTTATTTTGGGAAAAGTATTTTGTGAATTAGAAAATATTATTAAGTATAAACTAGTAAAAGAGTTGGTTAAACTAAAAGTGCTTATAAGCGAAAAAGCATAAGTTGGGAATGACCAACTTACGACTGATTTTAGCTTATAAGCACTTGGCTTTTAAGCATTTTAGGTGTTTACCAAACACGTAGATAAGCCAAAAAATTCTTATAAGACAGTTTGACCAACTTATAGGCTTATTCAAACACCCTAAATTTGAACGCTTTTTCATGTTGTTCATTTTGGAAAAAGCTTAACACTTTTTAATATTTATAAAAAAACCTTATAATTCACATTTACATTGTTATTAATGAGATGCTATTGTTACAATAGTTGCATGATTGGTCATGCACATTGAAAACATAATTAAATAAATAAAAATATATATTCTTTAACGACTTAAACTTAACTATTAGCCCGTAAAAAAAATTAGCCTCCAAGTAAGAAGATGTATATATTGAAAACGTTATTATGTAAATAAAAATCGCACATGAAAAGGTATGTTAAATAAATAATTAGACGACACAATCACACATTTTAACAGTATACCTCGCTACAAAATGTGTTTTTGTCTTTTAATGTATGTCTAAATTATCTCTTAAAAGTTAACCGTTTTTTTCCCCTTATATTTTGTATCCATTCAAATGATATCAAACAAATTAGGTTCGGGAAGCATTTCAGTTGCTCCCATTAGAAAGTCAAAATAATTTTTGTTTCTGACTTCTGTAAAAAAAATGTAGCAATAAAAACTAGTATTCATAATATATAAATTTATCTAAAATAAAAATAAAAACTCTGAATTTTACCCAAAAAGTTGAACAGGTTCATTAAATCCAACCTGTGCATGATATATTCAATGTAGTAAAAGGAATATCCCCGCAATATGAGGCAAAATACGTAATAAAAACCTCATATCGTGGATCGTTCATTTTATGTTTTTAGTTTTTTCTTGTTAGGGAGGGTGAGTTTTCATTTTCGTAGGGGCAAAAAAATAAATCACGAGGGCGAAAATCAAGGTAGACAACTATAATCAGCGAACAATTGTCTGGCTATAAATTGCTCGTATGACAACCGTTGATTGTTAGAAAAGTCATCACGGGAGATGTTGATATAGTGTATACTTTGGACAATTATTGGTCATGCCTTACACGTGTTAGTTAGGGAGGGAAGCAATATAAATATCAACTTAATAAAATAGTGCGGGGTGTATAGGATAAATTGTGTGATGACGTGGTTAGATCACCAAAATAGAAGAGGGGAATTAATTAATGGTGGTGGTGACTTGACTAATGGGGCCCAATTTCTAGGAAACGCAAACGTGTCGCCACATATGTCCTAGGTGGACGACTAGGTATATATTGATGGCGGGGATTGATATTTGTTTTTCCCTTTCTGTAAAATAGAGAATAGTAAATGCTGATTATGGGATTAACATTGAACGTTTATTTATTTACTCGGAAACGTGAACGTTTCGCCACATATATCGTAGGTGGACGATTAGCCGTTAGTTGATTATTGAATTTAATTTTTTTCCTTTTTGTTTTTACATATCTCAATATTTCGAGATCGAAACTTACAATCTATTCGTAAAATTTATTTTAATAAAATATTATATCAATGTTTGTAAGACGGATTCAGAATTTGAGGTTTATGAGTTTTCTACCGTAATTTCAAATTAATATTCAATTATAATTGGGTTCACAGTTAGATATTTATAAATATTTAATAAATTTTTTAATATAAATATAAAGTTTACGCAAGAGTTACTAATTTCTCAAAAATTCGTATTCAATTATCTAGGTTAGGCCACGTACCTCTTTTGAACATATACTACTACCTAGAAAGTGAGGAGGAAATATAACCTCCACCAGATGGAGGTAGCAAGTTTGTCGCTCTTTGACCCACTGAAGAGTCACAACTCGGTAAGGCAAAATCATCTTTTAAAATGGTTGCGACCTGCCTTGGTTATTTTCTCTTGGTTATTTTTTTTTTCTTTAGTTTTTAGTTAAAAATATTTCAGTTTTTAATTGTTTTAGAAAATTATTTTTTAAATTTTTTTCCAGTTTTTACAAAAATATTATTTTAAAAAATATTTTTTAGTTTTTTTAAAGCAGTTTTTTTATAAAAACTGGAAAAAAATTATTTTCGTTTTTTTTTTCCAGTTTTTAGTAAAAATGTTTTTTTTAGTTTTTTCCAGTTTTTACAAAAAAAAATTATTTTTCGGGTATAAATAATGACTCTTTTTAATTAATTAGGAGATATTTAGAATTGACCAACAGGACGATGACACGTGTCCCTCCGTTTAAATGAGGGGTATATTTGAACTCAAAGTATGACTGCGTGAGTATAGATAACCCAATAGTATAACAAATGATATTTTTAGACCATTTTCGAAAGTAGAGGGGTATATTTGACCCTTTGACGCTCTTGTATGTTTTTTATTTTTCGCTTTATTTAGGTCAAAATGCACGCGTGTTTATCTCATTTAATTTCTTCATTGGCTAAACTTGAAAGGAAGAAAAACGTGGTATTGACACTCTAACAACCGCAAAAATGGATGGCAAATCCAAGTATAAATAAAGAAGACTTGGTGATAAAGGACGGCGGGCAGCCACTTAGCTTGGAGATAATGCATAAAGGAATCGAAGGGACTACTTAGGGATTTGGACAATATATCTCGTTGAACATTACTATATTAAAAAGAATAAACAATCTGAAGTTAACGTTGAAAATTGCGTGTTTAAAACATAATATCACTTTAAAAAAGAATGATTTGTAAGTGGCCGGTAACTATTATTTCAACTTGAATATTCTTTGAACAAGTTTTTCAATAATAATTGAACTTCAGCATATATAAATACCGAAATATAGTTTGTGGCCAAATGAAGAGATGCATATAGAGAAGATGAGATTGACACACCATTGCTTGACGAAAGCAATAGAATTAGATGATTGGAGAATGGTCGATGGGGATGACGCAGAGTCCGTCTTTTAGATGATAAAAGATTGACATAATGAGATCATCTAACATCTTTTCTCTTAATGACTCTTGGATGCTTTCAAAATATTGGTTTATATTAGAAGCCCACAAATCATTGAAATTACGAGTTATTATTGCCCCACTTGGCCCCATTACTGATTTCTTGCATAGCTTAATTAGCTTCTCTTATTCCTTCCAGAGGTGGGAAATTAGCCGAACTGTTGTAGTGTAGGAATAAAAGCAAGTAAGGAATTCCCTGGAAGCTTGACGAAATTGAATTGAAGAAGTTATCTGTTAATATTGGAACCACGGCAACTATAGTTCATCTTTTGAGTGCTATTATGAACTACTAGATGGATTATTGAACAAATAAGGTTGGCTGATTAATCCGTAAAGAAAAAAGGTTACTCCTTAGATATGAGATATTTAACGCCAAACTATTTTAATTCAAACAAAACCAAATCCTTTTTAAACTAGAGGGTACAAATTTTTTTTCCCTAGAAAGGACTATTAACAAAGTAAACTAGTTCGGATTTAGAGAAGACCAATTTCAAAAATAAGAAATCTATAATAATAATAATAATAAGACGGTCGGTTTTTCAAAACCGGCCGACCGACAAAAAACCAAAAAACCGATCGAAGACGGTCGGTTTTTCAAAATATTTTTTTTATTTACGAAACCAACCAACTTTAGTCGGTTTTTTATTTAAAATAAATTAAAATTAATATTCAAAAAACCAACCGAGTCGGTTGGCTCTGCCGACCACAAAATTACTGACGCCACGAATCAGTCAATTTTCGGTCGATTTTTTCCTATTACCGACCAACATCGTTCGATTTTCGTTTAATTTTTGCCAATTGCCAACCAAGGTAGGTTTTGGCGGTCGGTACCCCTTTTTTAGTAGTGAGGCGGTGATAAACGGCTGCCGTTAGTGAAATCTTTTATTTTTATTGTTTATAATTGCCTTACCAATTTTAGTTGTTTACCAAGTTGCTTCTCCTTCTTCTCTCTCAAAATTATAAAGTGTTCTTGTGAAGATTTTGTGAAAATTTCTTCTACGGAAATTTTGGAACGAACTTCTGTAACAAGATACGATCATAGACTGCGAACTTTACTAAAGTTCGTGTATTAACATGTGATTAAACTGTTTGACTGGTGAAACAAATATATAATCCTGTAAACTATTTGTTTCCTAGTCATGACTTTCGTTGTTGAAAAAACTGTTGTGAATAGTCTTTGTTTACTGACGTTGTAATCTTTGTTCGGAGTCTTTTTTGGCAATATAGAATTTTAGATTGCACAATCTGAAATAATATTAATCATTTGGTTAACC